AATTAAAAAGCAAAGGAAAAACGAGGAGAGCATTAAAAAGATTTAAAAGTGAAGATGATCGTTCTCTCTGTCTCCGATCATGCCGCTTTTATCGATGTAACAACGTCGAAAATGAATAAAAGAACAAATTAATGAATTTATCAATAATTAATAAAATAAGTTTTGAAAAAGGGGGAAAAAATGAAATAATTGGCATCCTACTTTTTGCTTTAAAATTTTGGGACGCGAGGAACTTTAATTTGGGGGTGAGGAACTTTTCTGTGCGCCTCAGTCCCAGAGTTCCGCGCAGCGCACTTTTCACTGCGATCTAGCTATGGACCACGTAGGTTTCTAGGGACAGAAAGGTGCCAACCTATGTTGATATCAAATCTAGCGAGATTTACAGATAAGAAAGGATGAAGCCATTAATGCGTTGGAGGAACGTGAATACACATGCATTCGGCCACGTGCCCAATTTTGTTGTCACGCAACACTTCGATATCAGGCTTTCAAGGTGACCGTTTCTGTTAAGAGCCGAGTGGGAGAACTGGGACCCACCACATCCCTTGATCCCTCATTAACGAGATCGATGTTATGTAAGCCAAAATGGCCGCTACTGCACAAGCACGAGTGCTTTCCATCTTGAGCTTTTCTTCTTCATTCCGCCTTTTTTTACGATCTAATGCCATTTGGAGTGTGAATGCAGTTTTGCCACCCTTCTTTATCAAGGAGAAGTCGACAAAAGCCAGCGATGATGAACAGCCTCAAACTTTAGTTCTAGAGACCTATCATAGCCGGACAGTCCACGTGGGAAATCTTCGACAGAGCTCGAGATCTGATTTAGTTAGTTACTTTTCCAAGTATGGAAAGATCGAAAAGGTAGATTTGGTATATGCGAAGTTCTCTCGTTTGCCTAGAGGGTTTGCTTTCGTGACATTTTGTGAAGGAGAAAGCGCAAAGAAAGTTCTCGACAGTACTCATTCCGACGTTGGAAGAGATAAGATCACTGTAAACCCCCGAAGGACTGAAAGATTGCCTCCCGCGCCCTCAAAGGAAAAATTAGTGGTACTTGTTACAAATATATTGAAAACAACGACTTTTGAAGCGATCGAAAGGCATTTTTCTCAATTTGGAAAAGTCCAAAAAGTAATTCTTGCTCAGAAGGGAAAATCGGATGATGACTTTGATAAACATTATGTTACATTTTCTTCAGTTGATGAGGCAAAAAGAGCCGTTAAAGAACCAACGCAAAGGATTGCTGAACAAGATATTGACTCTCAGGTGTTGGAATTTTCAGAAGCCAAGAATATTTTAAATGGTACCACGAATCTTTGTGTTCGTTCCTTAGGAGATAATATATCCGTGGATAATTTGAAAGAGTACTTTCAAAAGTTTGGAGACGTAGAATTCGTGGAGGGTTTTTTAGCCGAATCCAGTGTTATGCTATGTTGTAGTGTGGCATATGTTCACTTCAGTGAAGAATCTACGTTGGATAAATTTCAAGAAAAGGAAGATCACATCGTAAATGGCGTGCAATGTGAAGTTTTAAAACAAAGAAGGGTTCTTCCCCTGGCAAGAATTATCCGGCAGAGAATATCAGTCGAGGGTTTGCCCTTGTCAATCACCAGTCGAGCTGTCAAGCGCTTCTTCGAAAATGAAGTTGGAATAATTGTAAAAATTCTCTTTTTCAGAAAGGACTCTTTGAATGGAAAAGTTCATTGTGTTATAGGGTGCTTGAATGAAATGGACCGGGAAAATGTCCTGGCTATAAAGTATGCAATGTTTCAAGACAAAAAAGTACACTTTAATCCTCTTTTGTGGAGCAAGAGGAGGCATAGGGGAGAACTGAAGTAACTAAAAGTACATATTGTATATTAGTAGACATTGTTTCACATCAGAGAATTTGATTTTCAAATGAGCACTTACCAGGTAGAAGTTGTTTTCCTGATCTAACACCGAATTCTGATACTTGATTTACAAGGAAATGTGTAGCGGCCAGAGGAGAGAACTAACAATCAGATCTTGGGAGTTAAATCACATGGAAACATGGCACAGAGTAAGGAAATTTGATGCTTAGATCATGGGATTGAAAGATAATAATGGCTTGTACAAAGGGATAACCTTGATTCAACTCTATAACTCCCATAAATTATCAAGGCAGAATTTCTCCTTACATCATTAAAGGAACATCAAGCAGAAAAGTGGTAGGAATAAAGAAATATATCAATTAGGAGATTATTAGTTGATCCAAAACCAAATTCTCTAAACTAACTATAACAATTGCTTGGCAGACATTAAGGAGAATTATCATCTGAAAACCATAGTAAGAGCTGACATGACCAGGGTTTAGGGTTGATGTGAGCCAGTCCACAAAAAGCTGTTTGGCCCTGCTACCCTCACATTCCTTTGTTGCAAAAACTTAAAGTGCCACTATGATCAAAATTTCGCATTGCCTTTTCTTTTCACTTCTGGAAACTAGAAGTAAGAAACACTTGCCATGCCAAGTTTAATCACAAAATTCTCACAGAAAGTATGATTATTTTAATCTTGATTTTTGTTTTTGGTCGCCTGCCATTACTCAATTCAAAAATGGCCAAGTGTGGCAAAATGAGTTGGCACTAGTTGGAGCCTTTCGGAAGTGACGTCATATGCACAGCTCGACCGTAAAAACGTGGCTAAATTTGTATGCCATTTGGAAGAAGAATTCGAGGAAGAATACATCTTATAAAACGCCTAGAATTTCCACTGTGGAATCTCTCACAACACACAAAGCACGATGCGAAAGTGCACATATGACGTCACAGGCCAACTCATGCGTAAAACCGCTTTTCAGTTCAGTCTCTGGCTCTCGGTTGAGAGCTGAGTAATGGCAGACAGGTTTTTCGTGAATTTCGGCCAGCTATATCAAGGCGTAGTTTGCTTCCATCGACCTTAAAACTATCGCATAGTACAATTCTAACCATATTAACCTGATTGGTGCTAAAAAATGTCAAAACCAGAGACAAAAATTTTCGTCGTAGTGGCACTTTAAAGGAAAATAGGAATGAGAAAAAAAGTCTTTTTTTCAAGGAATAGGGAGTTTGTTCTATCTTGAAAAAATAAAAAAAAAGTTTTGATTGGAGATGTTTTTTTTTAACTTGTGTGGCTGTGTGGGCCCATCTATTACCTCCTATTTGGGTTGAAATTTCCAACACTGAGAGGTCATAATAAAAAAAATTATTATGAAATGCTTATTGACTGAGTTTACCACTCTCAGTGCGTAAGTCCTGACCTTGAGTCAAATATTTTCCTGTCCCACCCTCCACTTAGTCAGTACCTAGCTGTTACTAATGAGATTATGGGAGTGAAAATGTACGGGGAGAAAGGTAGTTATCATTATTAGACTATGTTATGTGCGAGCTACACTGAGAGAGCTGAATTGGGAGGGGAAATGTTGTTTAAGACTCAGAACTCTAATGCCTTTTGAGCGTGAATCAGAGGCCTGTTTCTCGAAAGTCCTGGTAACTTGACGAGCCCGTATAGCTGTTTTCCATTCAAGATTGGGATTTCAAAAGTTTTGAAAATGATACATTAAAAACTATCGGCTAAAGAAACAAAAAGGACATGGTTTGGGTGCCAGAACCTGCTTTTGATTTTGATTTTAAAACTTGGGTTTGGCCCTGTTAAGTTACCTGGACTTTCAAGAAACGGGCCCCAGGTTATTTAGTATGTAGCGTAGAAATTTGTGCTGTTTGGAGTAAGTGGTTACTATGTATATGAAACAAAGGGTATTATATGTGCCAACTTTTGTTGTATTTAATGTTGTGAATAATAAATTATGTTATGCGTGTCATTAGGTTTTGATCACCAATTTCATGGTTACAGAGAAATTTCTAAAATCATAACATTTTAGTAACATTTATTAACATTTTATTTTGACATTTTATATAAACCGCGTGGAGCGGTTTATATAGCGCTGGAAACTCTTTGCTCAGCTCGGAAATTATACCAACTTTAAAGAGATAGGTCTGCAGTGTTTTCCAGTCCCTCCAGTCGTTCCCAAGCCTTTCTAGTTAGGTACAGTAGAGCCTGGATTCTAGTCTTCAACTATGGCGGTCCACTTTCATGTAATTTCTCTGTTCTGTTTTCAACGACTCAGACCTTCTCGTTTTTAACCCTCAATCGGGCTTTGAAAACAGTGAATTACTACGAAAAAATCTTGGAATTTTAATATGGATGTTGATCAGTTCTTGTCAACTGTGTTTCCGTCGAAAAGAGATGAAAACATCGCAACTCCCAGGTACTTCGTTGGTATATTTTCAGCTCTCAGCTCAGTAAGCTGTACTTGTTTGTGTAACAGAAGTATAATGATACAGAAAAATATTATTCTAAGAGAAATTTTTGTTCAATTCTGAGCAACAAACTTTTTGTAGAATGTAAGATTTCCCAGATGCTAGCTTATTAATTTTCTCCTTAAATCGCGTGACCGTACAGAGTTGAAACTTACGATTGTAAATGGGCTATGCGATTTAAAATCCGCATCCCCCCTATTGAAGGCTTTCCTGTAACATCCCTCCAGAAAAGAAATTTTTTAACTCCCTTCAGAATTTAAAAAATCGAGTTTCCGGATGGGATATGAACCCACGACCCTCCGTGATCTAGTCGGATGCTCTAACCACTGAGCTACAGGAGACTCTATGGTGAGCAAGGGTCAATTAAAACTCGATTTTTTAAATTGAAACTCGATTTTTTAAATTGTTTATTTTCATTTCTACACCCTTCAGAATTGCCTGAAATTACCCCCTTCAGAATTTTAT